TCAACTGACTGAGCCACCCAGGTGCCCCATCGAACAAATTTCTAAAGAGTATTTTAATGGTTACAGTTTCTCCCTCTGAAAGACTGATTGAAGATGAGGTTGGGCTCTTACTGGTTGAGATTGTGGCCTCGGAGAGATTAGAAAGGTCCTGGTAGGACATTGAAGTCAAGCCTAGAATTCTTTGCAATGTTGCTTGCGGCCATTCCTGCATTGACGCAGTTGGAGGAGGGAGACATTCTTAACCCTCTCATCCTGACCAGGACGTGCTTTCCCATGTTACATGACTATTATTGGGGGCTGGGGTAGAGTCACTTTAGTAGCTCGTGGGCTGGCCACCATGTCACCTAATTACATCCCTTTGAGGGGAATCAGGCCCTGAGTTACTACATGTTTTTAGAACACAGCTTATCTGCAGGCTTGCATATATGTAGTGTTTTAAAATACAAATTTGCAAACAGAAAACAAAAAATGTATTCAGTTTAAGTATATTTTTCTGGACATGAGAAATTAAACATTTTGGGGGCAACTCTTTTAGATAGATTGTCCTTACTTCTGTGGCAAATTTGCCCAGAATGGAGCAAATTACTAGACAGTATGGGAGGACAACCATCCAGTCTCATCCTAAGAAAACCCTCTCATTTGTATAGCCAATATACCCGGGCCAGTCCATACTCATCTTTTATTTCAAGCCCCCCAAATACTCAGATTATTTAAATTAACTAAACTTTGAAGGATAGGATTGGTTATTTATTCATTCAAAATATTTATTGAGCACACACTTATGTGCCAGCTTCTAAACCCTAAGGATACATGGAACTTATGTAAGTGAGAGAAATAGATAATATACAAATAAACAAGTAACATTTACCATGTCAGATGGTAAAACTGCTAGAGGGAAAAATAAAATAGGGTACAAGGAAGCGTGTGTGTGTGTGTGTGTGTGTGTGTGTGTGTGTGTGTAGTGAGAGGTTCTTGCTTCATTGAAGGCCTCAAGGATAGTGTGACATTTGAGCATAAGGGAAGTGCAGGAGCAAGTCTTTCAGACAACTAGAGGAAGACTGCAGCAGAAACAGTAAGTGCAAAGGCCCTGAGGTGCCAATTCAACAAGGAATTGGCAGTCTTAGACAATTCAGATGGGGATCTTATGCTCTGACCAAGAGTGGATCTTCAGGCTGGGCTTCCTCAATGACTTCCAGTGATGGCCCAGGTCCATTGCCCCCATCCTCAAGGGGCATAGAAACTCCTTTAAAGGGGGTGAGGAAAGGTAGGCAGAAACTACTCCCAGGCTGGAGAGCTTGGGGAGTCAATCTTGTTGACATATTTAAATACCTCCTTCACAGCTAATAAAACTCAAATTGTTTTAATTGAGCATTTAAATTTTTTTCACTGGTAGGTCCTTCATACATATTCGGCTTTACGCCAATTATTGCATCATCTTAAAAGAGAAGCTTTTAAATTAATTAAATCTATTACACTTGCATATTTGATTCCTGCCAATACATAATTTTAAAATCCTCACTTCAAAAATAATTCAGTAAAGATTAATAAGCCTTCCAAAATGTCTTAAACTCTACACCTGGCAAGGCATACCCCAGGTCTTCAGATAGGGGCAAACTGGCCCTCGGAAAGAGACATTTCAATTTAGCCCCAGGCAGGCCAATCGGCTGTGGCCTGTTTCAGACTTGGAGATTCCGATTTCAGTGGGTTTGGAGAGAGCTCAGGATTTTTTTTTTTTTTTTTTCCAAATAAGTGATTTTCTTAATGAGCCAATTTGAGAGCTACCAGTCTGGAGCAAAGACAGGATAGATTCTATGTAATACAGAAGAACAGAATGCGGCATCCATCTGGTTTGGCTCAGATGAGGAAGGGACAATTGTTACACTTTCTTTTATGTAGCTGTATTAGTTAGGGAAGGCTAGGCTATGCTGCAGTGACAACCACCAAATCTCAGTGGCTTAATGCTCTAAAGTCTGTTTCTTTTTCTTGCCGAGCCCAGGACTAGTGTCCTGGATGGGCAGCTCTCCTCTAAGTGCTGTATACTGGTGACTCTTATCCAGTCACACCGTGTCCCTTAGGGCATTCCAGGAGACTCCTGCATAGTCAACTCAAGAGAGAGAGTGTCCATCTTTATGGATCATTTTAGGGGTCACGCCTGGAACTGTCTAGCCCTTCTGCCCATATTCTATTAGGCAGGACTAGTCACTTGACTCCTCCCAGATGCAGGGGGCCAAGAAAGGGAGCTTGTGGCTCAGGAGGCAAGAGAAGGAGTTGGTGAGCACACACACCGAATTGGCTCTGTAGCTGCCATCTATCGGCTACTCCCTGATGCAATTTTCTACAGGTTCTTTGTGTTTTTTTCCACCAGGTTTGCTGGGTACGTAAGTCTATGCTCAGGATTACTGGCCTCTCTGACCTCACCCGTGGTTCAGTGTAGCACGAGGAAGATCCCAGCCTGGTTAAACTAAATCACACTGAGGTGTACTTGCATAACGGATCCTCCTACCGCATCCATCCTAGAAATCATTTTTTTTTTTTTTTTTGTCTTAAAGTAGGAGTCCCATCCTAGGGATGGTATAGCTTCTTTCCTTTCTTCATATAGATTCTCCAAAAATTCATCATTTTTTACATTGCTTCTTGTGTTATTGGCAGCGGGGGTTTTTAAGGGCCAGAGCAGACATCCTGTAGGAGGAGATGATTCTAAGTATGGTGTTTATGAGTTGGGGACTTTCTAGACAGTCTAAAAATATAAGCAGACAAGATAAGAATCTAGGAAGGGCACAGTCAAGGGTAGGAGTGGTTTGCCTTTATGGTGTGATAAATCATAAGGACTCAATGTGAACAAATGAATTAAACAGTACCATTACCTATAATTGCACAGACCCGGGTTTCTCAAAGGCTGGTCTCTGGACCAGAAGCATTAGCATCATCTGGGAACTTTTAAGAAATGCAGGTTCTTAGACCCAACCCCACACCTACAGAATTAGAAATTCTGGGGATGAAGACAACAATCTGTGTTTTTGACAGCTCTCCAGGTGATTTTTATGCACATCACTGAGAATCAGTGGCATAGATTGTACCTACCGACTACAGTTTTGTCTAAACCTAAGTAATTAGGGAATCTGAATGGAACTTTTTTTTCCCACCTGTGGGAGAAAGAGATGGACATAAGCCTTCAGGACACTTGACAGAGAAACTGCTAGTCTTTTAGATTAGATGCCTGCTTCTTTTGTATGTCTGCCTACAATTCTCTATAGGGAGAATAAATATCTAGAAAGGTAACTCAAGGCAGTTCAAGTGCCTAAGATTACCAAATATTTTTCACGTACATTACATAATAAAGCAGAAGAAATGAGCTGATCTAATTTTAAAGCAAAGATTGATTCAAAACATGTTTGTAGTTTTCCTCTTGGTTTTACTGATTACTTTCGGTCACTCTCCTCTTTGTCTACCCAGAACTCTGGGCATGATGGTTTTGTTGGGACCAGCAATGTGTAATCCCATTACACCTATTAATTGGAAATATTTTCAGCTATCCTCTCCCGCCACATACCACAGATGAAAAGCTCTAAACAAATTAAACTCACAGGAACCTGAAGAGAGTATCATGGACCTCAGCCGTTATGGTGTCTGCAGGGTGGAGGCGAGGAGGCTTGGGGACAGAGTGGGCCCAATGCTGCAAGGATTCTAAGATTTGTTTCCTGGAGCAAGTAAGTCTCTGGTGTCAGCAACATTTGCCTCTTTTTCATACAAGTGGAAAAGCAGGTTTAGGATAAAAATGCCCACTCTCCTGGCCCTTCTACAAACATCAGTGAATGAATCAAAGTCCAAAATAAACCCTTCCAAAAATGGTCTTCTAGCATGTGAAGGAATGGTTCTTCTGCTTCCCTAAACCGTTCAGATTTCACTGACCAAGCCTGCTGTGTTCGCCACGACTAAATTGGCCAGATAAACTACAGGACTCTCAGTTAAATTATATTTCAGATAAACAATGAGTAACATGTTAGTGTATGTCCTATAGTTCTACATATGTAATATTTGAATAATGTGAAAACTCGAATATAGAATAAGTATGACCATTTGAATTTTGGGTGAACAACTCGTGTTTTTTTTTCAGTATAAGTATATTCCATATTATATTCTTAGTTATGGGGCATATTTATACTAAAAAGTTAGTTTGTCTGGAACTTAAATTTAACTGAACGTCCAGAAATGTTTACTTGTTAAATAACTTTTATTAGCTACAACTCATGTAACTGATGGCAGAGGAATACTTGGAGCCACCAAGATGCACAGAACTTCTTACTAAATCCCTAGACGTGCCTCCTGGTTAGCAGGGTCATTTTGCCTTTAGACTCTGTTTATTAAGCCATTGTTACTTTATCTTTGCCACTCTCGTCTTGGGCAACTTCTCCTTTCTCCTTTCTTGGAGAGATGGTCTTGCTGGTCTCTCCCTGTTTGCAGAGAGAAAGGCTGACCTCTTAGACACAGTATCAGCCAAGCTGAGTTCCTTTTAACAAACTGGTTTCGCCCTGAAGATTAGCTTAATCTTTCCATTTTGGAGCTAGTTAATGTCTGGATCTTTGTGGCTCAGAAAGCCTGGTGTTTCTGAAAGCTTAGCTAGCTCCAGTTCTCTTTCATGATTTTTATCTTCGGTGAATCATAAAACCTAACTTTCAAACCTAGTTCTTTGTGTAGGCAAAGTTAGCCCCCCTAATTACCATCAATTAGTTGAAAAAGAACACCTGACACCCACCAACTCAGGTCCTAATGGGAAAACCAGTGCAGATAGTGTCAGATACAACTTTACTCAATAGGGCTCACTCAGCCTTCTGTGTAAATAACAGAGACCTAGTAGCAGCAATGTGAAGTCATTTTGTTCTTTCTGTCCCAGATTCCAGTTGCTGCTTCGCTCTAGAGACCTTTTATGCTTGCTTGGTTTTCTATGAAGTCAACAGGAACATAGGACACCAAGGAGGCCCGTAAGAGTGAGAGACTCTGACCTAATTCGAATGTCCCCATAGTTCAGTTACTCAAAAGATTGTCAAGCCTTAAAGGCGCAGGACATAGAAGTTACTAGAGCTTCACCCAAATACCACCCTACATTGTGATTGCAGACTCTTGCTGAAATCATCTTTTTCCTGTTCCTCTCCTCTTCTCACTTTGTGTGTATGGGGATTTCAAGTATATAAAAAAAATACTGTTGATTTCTTTTATTTGGACACAAAGACTTTGTTATCTGGGTGGAGTTCTACTTGGGAGTGGCTGCTGGGATTACATTGTGGAATGAGGCAGAGTGATTTTTTTTTTTTGCTTTTTGTTTTAAATACCACTGGATGGTTACCGGATGTACCGTGGTCTCATTTCCTTTTTCCATAGCGGGTTCTTGGGTTTGGTGGTTGGATTAGATACACTAAAAAAATGAAATTTAAACTCACTATCTGCTCGTGGTACAGAGCACTCACATAGTTTGACCTTGGTCATAAACTGGATTGAGATCCCATCTTAATCAGAAACTAAAACGCTCCTTTTGCTCTTAATCATAGCTTATAAAGAACAGAGAGTTAAGGACACAGAGAGAGTGAGGTGGTGTCAGTTTGTCTCATTGCTTACCTGATTTCTTGTGCAGGAACTACACTTTGGTTTTTAAGAGTCTGGCATCTGATGACAATGAAATTACCTCAAATCCCTTCTAATCCCACCCCATCCCTTAGATCATGTGTAGTCCCCTGACCTATGCTTTCATAGCTTCTCACAGTTGTGAGGCATGTACTGGGCTTAGAGTCCCTGAGGGCAGAGACAATGTCCATCTTGTTGACTCTGGCATTGTCAGTGCCCAGCACTGACCTGGAGCACAGGTGCCAACAGGTGGACACATGGGTTAGACTTTCTAGCCACATAATCCATGACACCCTTACTCCAATAGCAGATTGTCAGTAATCTCTTAGGACCAAGAGAATTTTCAGAAAGTCTAGAAAGAGAAGCTGGAGATCTGTCCATATGTGAATTACCTGTTTGCTGGGCTAAGTGACTTTTATCTACTCCCACCTCTCTGCCTACTTCTGGTCATCTTTACTCACTAAAAGAGAGTCCACATGGCAGACAAAGAGTTGTTTTACAAGCGAGATATTAGGAAAATAAATCTCATGTCCTGAAAGACAGGTTAGCAAACTTTTTCGGTAAAGAGCCAGAGAGTAAATATTTCAGGCTTTGTGGAATTATAGTCTTTGTTGCAACTTAAGTCAGTTACTGCCCTGGAGTGATTAAGCAGACAACAGGCAAAGGCATGAGCATGACTGTGTTCCAATCAGACACTTATGGACACTGAAATGTGAATTTCATGTACCTTTCACATATCATGGACTATTAATCTTTAAAAAATATTCTCCGGGGCGCCTGGGTGGCTCAGTCAGTTGAGTGTCTGCCTTCGGCTCAGGTCATGTTCCCAGGTCCTGGGATTGAGTCCCGCTTGGGGTTCCCTGCTCAGCGGGGAGTCTGCTTCTTCCTCTGCCTCTCTCTCAAATAAGTAAAATCTTAAAAAATAAAATAAAAAAGAATAAAAGGCTACCCATTTAAAAAAATAAATAAAAAACATTTTCCTTCAAACATTTAATAATGTAAAAACATTCTTAACTCACAGGCTGTATAAAAACAGGTGGTGGACCAGATGTAGCCCACTGGTCAGTTGGGTGATCTCCAGTTTGGTGCTACCTCCCCCCCCCCAATAAAAGCAAACAAACAAAAACAAAAAAACGAATACCAAATTTAAAGGTGTGTTGTGGAAAGGGAGCATTTTTTGCTTTATCTGCTTTATAGCTTCCCTAGGTAGCTAAGCACTAATGAGGAACAAAGGAGCTTTTACTTAGTGGCTTATTTTTGTGCCATTTTTTGTTTAAATATATATGGATGCTTGCCTATGTGCTTACATATGTGTATAATAGAAGTAGGACCAAGTTTTCAAATTGCATTTGATTTATTTTCTTAACCATTTGGGATGGTGAGAGGGAATTGTAGAAGATATAGTATTATCCCAGTTTTTTTAAAAAAGCCCATTATACCAAAAAATGCTTGTAAAAAGTTCTAGAAGGTGTGTATTTACTAAGTGGTAACAGTGGTTTACCCATGATAGTTGGGAGTGTGATTGGTCAGGGGGTAGGATACTTGACCTTTTTCTGAATTATTTACTTTAAAAAAAGGGAAGGATTCTTGTATTATTTGTGGAATTAAAATTAGTTAAGTATTTAATTAAAAACATATTCATGAAAAAGTAAACATTGCTTGCTTCTGTGAATCTGCAAATACAGTTCATCTGTAATTTTAAATATTATTGTAATCTTTTCATATTGACCCTTTCTGAAATACAACTTTTAGGAAATCCCTTCATCTATGAGAGAATTGGTAATTAGGAAGTGTTAGGTTTTATAGGCGCAAGAATATCTTCTCAAGGGATGCTGGTATTTAAAATAACATAAAAGTACCATGGGGCGCCTGGATGGCTCAGTCGTTGAGCCTCTGCCTTCGGCTCAGGTCATGGTCTCGGGGTCCTGGGATCGAGCCCCACATCGGGCTCCCTGCTCCCCGGGAAACTGCTTCTCCCTCTCCCACTCCCCCTGCTTGTGTTCCCTCTCTCGCTGTGTCTCTCTCTGTCAAATAAATAAATAAAATCTTTAAAATAAATAAATAACATAACATAACATAAAAGTACCAAATAAAAAAACCCCACAATCTGCAACACTATGGATCCAAACTATATACCCCAGATTTTAAAACACATTTCTTACTAGAACACAAAAAGCCTTTAAAGCAGGTGGTGCCTTTGTCCCCTGATACCAATGTGTTTTAATAAGGCTCCACTAGATTGTCAAAGTCTTCGGTTGAACTGGAACTGACATTTATGCTAATTAGCTGGGTTTCTGAGCTCGAAACAGGTAAAATTAAAATACAGTGGGCTCCAAATTGTGCTTATTTTCTCAATGAAGGCACTGAAGAATATTTGGTTCCATTTGTCAGTATCCCATATCTTCCTTCTTCCATCATTCTTTCCCCGCCTGGTGTGTTAATCTGGTAATCTGAAATCTTTTTGTCTGCCTGTAATATGATAGGCTGCTTTCCTGTTGTCCATCTGTCTCCTACAGGAGGTGAAAGTACTTTTCAGAAATGGTTTGGGTTGATGTTATTAATCTTTATAAGCAGAGAAATTCCTTGAATAATTTAATAGCCAAATGGCATGAGGGGGACTTGGTATGAAAATGAATTTTCCTGTCAGCTTAAAAAATCACAGCATGGCCAGCCTTTCATCCATGCCACTCAAATATCAAACCACTGGATGTTTGTTTTCTTTTATGCAGGTTTCTCTATTTTGCACCACGTAAAGCGACAGGGAAACATCTAGAAAATTTGTGTTTACTTTTTTCTGTTAAAAAAACCTATAACAAACTAACCAGCAAAAAGAAAGCCCTCCTTGTTCTCCGAAACAACAGATGCTGACTTTGACCTTGGGATTTAAGGGCAAATCTATTCTTGTTTACATGTCTTGAATTTCTTGGGTTTGCCAGTAGGAAGGCATCAGTTGGGAATGAATGCTTTTGAAAGTATATGAGTGACTTAAAAAAAAAAATCAGTCCACACAGCTGTTGCTAAAAAAAAAATAGCTGTTTTGCCCCTTCCTTCCAGTGTCACTAATATACAGGGTTTTAAAAATTATTATTGTTATCACTATTATTATTATGTTTTCTTTTGTACTTTTAATTGGAATTAACTGAGTTACAGATGTCACAGCTTCTGGGTGTCTGATCTGACACCCTGCTTTCTTGTGAAGGCGCCCCTGGGTGGAGGATGACACATTTGATTTGCAGGGTCCCATTGTTTCTTGATAGTGGTAGAAGGAGACACAGCCAGTCTTCTGTTAGGCAAGTCAGCAGGAGCAGGAATGTGAATAACCAAGTAAGTTTTTTCTCTCTGACACAGCCTCTTTACAATACCGTCTTGCTTTGCCCTGTCTTTTGGGAAAATCAATTTATGAAGGTAGCAAAAGCTTTCTAATAAATGTGAGGTCCAAGTGATACTACTCTGCATGAGGTCTGCCCACATGGGATTGTTATTATTTTGTTAGAAGACCACTAGCAAGTTTGTTGTTGCTTGCTGTTGTTTTGTGTCCAAACCAATAGATGGGCATTGATCATTTTTGTTTCTTTTTGCATGAATCGTGTCCTTGGGAAGGAAATCTTGAGGATGAGGAACTCATACCTTTGAGCAACAAAGAATTAAGTAGTGACTTCATCCCTTTCGATAGTACTGAAACCAGATGTGCCTTTTCTCTTTAAATATCATAAAACTCAATCTCATCTCTTTCCACTTTACAGTTTCAACTTGAGGAGACTGACTGAGAGATGGCCAAATCAGTTTCTTTGTTTCCCTTCGGAGGTCATTTTCCTGAGTGTTTTCTTTTTATCTTTACTGAGCTTAACTTTTTATTTGCAGATCATTCTAGTGAAATCCCCAATAGCAGTTAATATAATTTCGTTAGTCAATTTATAGGCAAAAGACAGGACGTATTAGAATGTCACCATGGGTACTTAACTAGAACATTTAAATCAAAATATCTTTATTCTATTAGCTCTGGCTACTAATTAAATAACAGGTAAGCGGCTCAAGTGTAATGAGCCAATGTGGAAGAAGCCAGGGGCCCGTGGAAGGCGCCCTTTCCTCTGGCTTGATCAGTAATAAGGAAGCAAATAGATCGGGGCAGTCATCTTCTGCTAAGAATGAGGTTGTTTTGCAAGGACTGGCAGTCAAGTACAGTTGACCCTTGAACAATGCAGGTCTGAACTGTGCAGGTATCCACTCACACATGGATTTTTTTTTTTTTTTTGATAAATGCAGTCCAATACTGTAAATGTCTTTTCTCTTCCTCAATTTTCTTAATAGCATTTTCCTTTTTCTAGCTTACTTTATTATAAGAATATAGTACAGGGGTGCCTGGGTAGCTCAGTCGGTTAAGTGTCTGACTCTTAATTTTGGCTCAGGTCATGATCTCAGGGTCATGAGATTGAGCCCTGCATCTGGCTCCACACTCAGCAGGGAGTCTGCAT